GGCCAGCGATTTCAACTGTATTTCCGACACAGCGCACTTTCTGAATATGAGGTTGTTTCTTGTTCGCGGGTAGGCATGGGGCGGGGTCTTTGCAGTTACTGACGGCGGCAGTAACTCTCCATTACTGGTATGTGATACAGCTCCGGCAACAAAGAACCCCGGCCTCGAGGCGAGTTCTGCGGCGACACAGTCCTATGCAGTAGAGACGATTTTGGCGGCTCCACCGTCTGACGACTACAATGAACACCCTGGCCGTTGCAGGAGTTGCATGCACAGCATGAGCTGCAAACACGATCGCACATCAACCCTGCACACGGTTCATCTAGAGGATAGGCATATAACAATAGCTCCCAACGCAGATGTAGCTATAGTTGACTTGGTGTTATGACATGACTTTGATCTAGATTGACCTCAGTGACCGGACAGGATCATGACATCAAGTTTAAGCCGTCATGTATAAGGCATGCTGCCGTTATTATCGAAATGATGGCAGTGCTTCGCAAGTTGTCAAGTGCATTTGCTAGGAGCATTATGCATATAGACGAGACAGTATTAATAGTTTCATTCCTCGAAGAATAAACAGAAAAGTGGAGGCATTGTTGTGATATTTCGGCTGCATGCATTTATCGAGAAGAATATCAGTAGTAAATTCAAAATTGCCTGCCGATTCAACTCGCCAAACCACCAGCATGCAGGGGATTAAACAAGGAGCAATTGCTAGCCATTTCTGTGGTACAGTACACATCTAACTTAGAGTTAAAATACGCGGAAAATGCGTGTGCATGCAAAGGACTTAAAGTAAATAGACATCACGCATTACACACCATTTACTCAAGCAAGAGATTTCAAAGAAATGATTTCAAGTAAACAGGCATCACGCATCACTTTTACATGCAAACGATTTCGAATAAGCAGGCATCGTGTATCAAGCTCAAAGCACCACTGATACCTAACAGCGATTTTAATCTAGCATGCATCACACATCAAGACACTAGTCACATTCACATAATCTTTCATGCTGAGTCCTGTGTGCTAAAGTCTGGTCGCCAACTTCTCATAAAATAGATTCACTTCTTTTCCTGTCGGGATAGCCCCGTGCTTTAAAGATAACTTTGCGCTAAAAAAGGGTTAAAGGGTCCGTACCTGCCTGGATTTCAGCCTCGGTGTGCTTTGTCAAAAACTAGTCGCCGAAAATGGCATTCTATGTTTTAATTTTGGCATCTCGCGGAAGTTCATTTTATCTCAAACCAACAAGGCGCAAGGACTCCCCGGCGTAAGCAATATTCCTCTCAAGTGTTCGCGAAGTTTAAACCGAATTTCGCGGACCCCGTTATTTTTCGTGCAAACCCCTTAAAACCCGGACTTGCATAAAATACATTTAGTGCTCCACGGGCACTTAGGCTTCGAGATAGAATATTTCATTTTAGTCTTTTTTGGCTTCTTGCTCTTCCAAGTCAAGCGTGCGCGCAGTTTTGATTTTCTAACGATATGTTTGATTTTCAAAAGCAAGTGCTCATCTATATAAGGTAGCGTTAAGAGCTTGTCAGTTGCCAGGGCGTGTTCCCGTGCCATACCACCTATCCCCCCACGTACCCTAGATGTTTTGACCTATTCCAACACTCAACGTATAGGTCATAGAGGATAGCTATTGTTCAATAGCAAAGCCCATATTCTGTTATGCTCCGTCTTTATTTTTCACTACTTGATAAGTTGTTTAAATCCCTGTAGAGTATGCTAAGAATTATATTGTGCTTAATCGAACTTGGATGCGCAGATTCACAGTGCAGAATTATACCAGAGTTAGTGGGTTTGATAACAGCTTCGTTTCTAACGTTGCGCGGTTGTTCCTCCTTTCTACCGTTCCTAGTGTATCCAAATGCGGACCCCCTTTCTGTATGCTCCGTCGTAAAGGATGAATTGGGTCAATACACTGGCTTAACACGACCTTACCTAAATGAACACTCGATTTGGAAAATTAAACATATAGTTAGAAAATCAAACCTGCGTGTACGCACAGCTTAGAAGAATGACAAGGAGCTGAAGAACTCTTTAGTTAAATATCTTATTTCGAAGCCTAAGTGCCCGGGGCGCGATAGGTGTCATATATGAAGCCTAAGTACCCGGGGTGCGATAAGTGTCACATATGCATCACTGGTTTTCGGGAAGTTTGCACGCAAATAAACGTGGTTTACGACATTAAGTGTAAACTGGCCGAACAAGCATGGGAGGTATATAATCTCTGTCGGGCAGTCCATGCGCCCTATTGATTTCAATTATAATGAACACCTGCGAGGTGCTAAAAACGATACAGGAAATAGAAACGACCTCTTTCGGTGACAATTTTTTGACAGAGCACGCTGAAGCTGAAATCCAGGCAGGTACGGACCCTTTAACCCTCTTTGAGCTCAAAGCTATCTTTAAAGCACGGAACCATCCTGACAGGAAAAGAAGTGAATCTGTGTTATGAGAAGTTGACGACCAGACTTTAACGCACAGGACTCATCATGAAAGATAATGTGAATGTGACAAGTGTCTTGATGTGTGATGCATGCTAGCTTAAAATCGCTTTCAGGCATCAGTGTTGCCTTACGCTTGATACATGATGCCTGTTTATTCGATATCGTTCGCATGTAAAAGTGATGCGTGATGCGTAATGCCTGTTTAATTGAAATTATTTGCTTGAAATCGCTTGCGTGAGTGACTGATGTGTCGCGCGTGATGCCTATGTACTTTAATTCATTTGCATGCACAGGCATTTTTCGCGTATTTTAACTCAAGTTAGACGTGCACTGTACCACAGAAATGGCTGGCAATTGCTCCTTGTTTAATCCTCTGCATGATGGTGGTCTCTATAAGCCGTGGCACTCTGATTAAAAAAAAAACGCTTAAAAGGCGAGTTGAATCGGCAGGCAATTTTGAATTTGCTACCGATATTCTTCTCGATAAATGCATGCAGCCGAAATATCACAACTACGCCTCCTTTTTCTGTTTATTCTTCGGGGAATGAAGCTATTAATCCTGTTTCGTCTATATGCATAATGCTCCTAGCAAATGCACTTGACAACTTGCAAAGCGCTGCCATCATTTCGACAATAACGGCAGCATGCCTTGTACATGACGGTTTACATGATGCCATGATCCTGTCCGGTCACTGAGGTCAATCTAGATCAAAATCATGTCATAACACCAAGTCAACTTCAGTTACATCTGCGTTGGGAGCTATTGCTATATGCCTATCCTCTAGATAAACCGTGTGCAGGGTTGATGTGCGGTCGTGTTTGCAGCTCATGCTGTGCATGCAACTCCTGCAACGGCCAGGGTGTTCATTGTAGTCGTCAGACGGTGGAGCCGCCAAAATCGTCTCTACTGCATAGGACTGTGTCGCTGCAGAACTCGCCTCGAGGCCGGGGTTCTTTGTTGCCGGAGCTGTATCACATACCAGTAATGGAGAGTTACTGCCGCCGTCGGTAACTGCAAAGCCCGTCCCATGCCTACCCGCGAACAAGAAACAACCTCAAATTCAGAAAGTGTCCTGTACCGGGGAATACAGTTGAAATCGCTGGCCGCGACAGGGTCCGATGCCTGCCAGTCCTTTGTGGACGGGAACATACATCAGTTGGGTGCTTGGGAGTTCCCCTGCCACCTACGCCACGTTCTTCCTTCCTTCTCTCCCTCTTCTTACCTTTGCACCCACTTCCCCTTATTCCCGAGTCCCCCCCCCGCCGAGCTCGCCGAATCAACACCAGTCTTAGCGCTGGCTTACACGAGTTGTGCGCTGTGAACAGGACTATAGCGTGCATGAATATATAATACTTAAATTGCATTATAATGGTCATGCTGGCCGAGGCTGACACGCAGTGTCGGAAGGTTGACGGGGGTGTGGCGTTGGAGCATCGCACCAACTTGATACCTTTGACATGGCATTAGGTGCATTGACAGTAAAAACGCTTTACTTGACTCTTTCATGATTGGGTCATGAGCAAGCGTCACAGTTTTCTCTAGCAGTGAAAAAACTTCTTATTTAGCGCGTATGATCGGTGACAAAAACTGACACTTTTGCAAACCAATTAGTGACAGAATTGTGAAAATGAAATAACAACAGATTATCCCAGCTCGACGAAACGCAAGGCTTAGTATTGGTCTGTGCCCGCTGACCCACGCAGCGTGGGCACATGACAAAGCGTTGGAGTTTCGCTGTATGAGCAAGCTGAGTCATAAAATGCTGCCAAATACAGTAGCTTTAATCAAAACGGTTCTTGGCATGTGCCAGAAACACTCTGCAAACTATACTATATCGGTGCTGACGTCACAGATCAGTGGTGGGACAGTGCTTTTCCAATGACCATCAAATCAGTGCTTTTCACAGACTTTTTCAGGCAAGATTCACTTCACATACTAAACAGTATAAAAGACAAAATAACTAGGCTTATTACTAGTCGTAAGAATCGTGGCTGGCGGCAGCATCTTGCGACGAACGTGATCAATTTCCTACGCAGCGTTTAAAAGCGTCGTGCCATTTGAGACGGATGGGCTTGATTGCTATCCAGGCGGTGCTTGGTTGAGGTGACTTTCATGGGCGATTCTAAGTTCGCCTTACTAACAAGTGCAGTAATGAGATAAAATTCGTTTCAGAAAATGTTTTTCCTTGGTGTCCAACTAACATCTTCAGATGGGGCTGGCTGTTTCTGTCAGATATATAATACTTAAATCTGTCAGAGAGCCGTCCGTAGTAGTTGTCCAGCAAAATTTGTTGCGTAAAACTCCCAGTAATTCCATTCTCTCAGCCAGCCTGGGTCTGCTACCGCCCTTGCGTGCCTGTGCTGGTAACCGTCGTCCGATAGTGGCCAGATCGCAATATGTCAGCGACCTGCTGTTCATTCATATTGTTTCTGTGAGCGCAAAACCTGCCAGTCACGTGCTGCCGATGGTTGGGACGCCTCTCGGCAGCTCGCTACGTGGGTTTTGTGACTTCGTTGACTTCAGATAGAGTGTGCCATGGAAAAAGATTTATTATTCCGTATATATTGAATAACAAAACAGTACACGCCATCCGATATCGATACAAAATGCAACTACCGCGTCCATTACGCACTAGTGATTACATATATTTACATAACTTTGCAACGCAGTGTCCTCCGATATAAACGCATCATGTTTGACATAGTAGTACGATACGGTTCGTCCTCTTTCACATGCACTCGGAGGAGTAGGTTACTGAGAGGAATATAAAGGGACAAGGTGGGCACTGATCATGGATCACGGACCAGCAGAAGCGAGCAAACTTGAACAGCTCACCACAAGTCGACGCTTGACACACACAACGGTCGTGAACAGCTGCTTGAACAAATACGAGGCAGAGCATAGATGAGACAAGCCGAGCATATCGTTTCAAGGTTACATTTATCAAGGAGCACGTTAATTCCGTCAGGAAACGAACGCTGTAGAATGGAATGGCCAGAGTCTCGTGTACGCGTACTGATGGCAAATGCCAGGGGCCAGTCTTCTTCCGTCAACTATATTCGCGGGGTGTAGATTTTCTGGATCGCAGCAAGCGGGTAGCGTGCCGTGGTTCAGCGCGTTCGACTGAGAACAGTGTTGTCACGGAGCGAGTCGACCAGGCTTTAGGCGGCTGGCGAGATGCTCATCCAACTCGGCACCATTGCCAAACGGGCCCCGAACCAGAAGGCACAAGATAATCCTGGGGAGCAGCCAACATCCCAGAACACCAGCCCATACTCCCGAGCTGTGACAGCAAACTGAGAGCCAGGCTGGAGGCTGCACGCGAAGGTCCAGGTGACACAAACTATCCACATAAAGGACAACACTGTCATTGCAGGAGGAAGGCTTATCTAGTATATTCATCATTCTCAGTTCTGTCAACTAAAATCCATAAGACAAACGGGCACAGCTGGTTTGCGAGCAGCCGAACACAGTACCCGTCCTCAACCCCACGACAAGACTCATAACGTAGCTCCCCAGCCCGCGCAAGCCGCGCTAACCAATTCCCGTAACGTGATATGACCAGCAATCACAACGCAGACGTCCTCTGAAGTCGGGTACTGCCACGATCGCTCAACAGAGCCCCGCTCGTGCGGAAGCGCAGCGGCAGGCGGCAGCAGCGGCACCGCAGAGCTAGGGTCTCGCTCGCTCGGTCTGCGACCCGAGCGGGAGAGCCAGCCCGCGTGGACTGGAGGCGCTGTAAGGGTACAGGGTCGGGACACCGGCGGCTGACTCCGCGTACCGCCGCCTGGAACCAGTTATACCCAAGCCCACCCAGACCTCATCCAATCGCATCACTTGTTTTCGTGTGCACCCGATCCTCGGCTAACTGAATAGCCCACCAGCGACATGCCTCAGCACGTGACGCAATGCGGGCACAGTCCTCCTGCTCACTGAAAGACGGACGAACACACGGACGATACGCGAGACATGCACTCCTCCAGCCGGCGGATTCACCACCCCAACTGATGGAAGAACCGTGTTTGTAAGAGCAGCGCGCCCCGGTCGCCGACCGGCGCGTCTCCGGCGCCACGGAGCAGTCAGTGGTCCCATCGCCGGGCGAGTGCGGCGGCACCTATACGGCGGGTGGCGCTACTGCGGCGACATCTACAGCTGGCGGCGTGTCGGCCAGTATCACAGACAGGGAGCCGGGCAGTTGTGCGTGCGACGGCGCGGCCGGACCGGCAGCGGACGCCCGCTACTGAGAGCCGGGTGCGCCCGGCGCCGGATCCGCAGAGCGGATGTCCGACTTGAGCTTAACGAACTCCTTGGCCACCTCGTCGTTGGTGCGCTGCGAGAGGATGCGCATGATGGTCCAGCCGGTCTCGTCCATCTGACACCTCTTGCCAAGAGTCAGCCAGCACGCGCACGAGCCCTGCAACCGAGACCGGACGAGGGTGAGTTCTCTCGCAGGGTCGGCAGCCTTGGCACGGGTCTCCTCGATGCCAGAACAGCTGGGATCCCAGGACATGCCATCGGAGATGAATTGCCCGTGAAAACTCGTTGGACGGGAATGCGTGAAGGTGACACTCTGCACCTTCTAAACAGCATTTGAACATTGGTCGAGCACGGACACGAACAACACACAGTTACGACACCTTCGCGGCCCGTCATTGGCAGCCGCTCAGCGGGTGTCTCCCGCCGTCAGTCGGACACGAGAGCGGCGACCTCTCACCTGATCCACGATGTCCTTCAGCTGAATAATGGCCACGCCCACCAGCCGGTCGTCCCGGGCAAAGCAGTAGTCCTTGACGCAGATGTGCAGTTCGTAACTGTCCAGAGACTCCTCGTTGCCAATCATGCTGGGGGACGGATAGTAGGGGTTAGCTCGGAGCCCGCGACGGCAAAGCAATGGCTGCCATCCCAAGACAGCCGGCAAAGCAAAGCAGCGCAGGCCCCATCGCAGCGGCCCCAGAATCACCGTTGGGCTCTCGACTCCAGCTTCAGATGGTATGTCACTCGCCGAGGCTTGTGCACAGCCGCATCACCTCATCCAGCTAGCGCACGTGAATAGCTGGAAGCGGCAAGTCGCGACGATTGGCAAAGTACGAAGGCATGCAGCCCAGCCCGTTTGAACCGCGCTGCGCTTCGGTGACGTTAACAGGCCCAGCAGCAGCGCGTCGACACTGAGGAGCGCCATCACACGCCTCGTGTGGCCACCTGCCGTCGCCCGCGGCCGCCAGGCGCCGCCACTGAGCCGGCGCGGCCCACTCACAAGTGGAACGTCTCGTTGAATTTGGGGGACCAGTTGTTTGACTTGGACTTTGTAGCGTGCTTGCGGCGCTTGTCGGCCAGGTGCGGCCCGATGAGGTTGATCTCGACGAAGGGCCGCAGCATGCCCGACTGGCTCGTCCACCGGATGTCGTTAGCCGCCACCACTGGCGGAACAGGGCGTCACGTGTCGGGCCGGGGGTGGCGCGCGCGGTGCGTCACCACGCCGCGCGTCGCTGCCTGCTGGACTCGGTCGGACGTCATCGAAGGGGTTCGAGCTCCGTTTATTCACAACAACGACGTATTATGAAGCATCACGCAGCTGTAAAGGCAGCAGCAGCAGCATCAGCTTAACCGACTTACAGCGTGCTCCACCAATACAAAATGAAGAGCTGAACACGACCTGCAACATAGATGGGGACAATGCACAAGTGACACCTGTCGGCGGGGTTCACTGGCGGGCGTCGGACCTCACCTTTGACGGTGACCTTGTGCTCGCCGGTGCCCGGGTGGGTGAGGAGGTCCACCTGAATGCCCTCACCTTTGACGGTGACCTTGTGCTCGCCGGTGCCCGGGTGGGTCAGGAGGTCCACCTGAATGCCCTCACCTTTGACGGTGACCTTGTGCTCGCCGGTGCCCGGGTGGGTGAAGAGGTCCACCTGAATGCTGATCTCGCCGACGCCTCCCTCCTCCACGGTCGGTGCGTCTGCGCGCGGCGGAACTGTCAGCGCCGGTAACGACAGGCAGCACCAGTGTACCAAAACGACTTGGGAGGGGATAAGAGTCGACATAGGACTGGGAGAAGGCTGGAGACGGGCTAGTGTCGGCTTAGGATTGAGAGCAGGACCAGTGTCGGCACCTACATAATGAGAGAGCAGGTAATATTTAAATGGCTGAAACAGCAAGGCGGAATCGACGAGTGATTGAGATGGCGGTGCCTGTCGGGAAATAGCTGAGAGTGCTGGCCAGTATCGCCAAATAGCTGAAAGAGTGTGCCAATGATGTCAGTTCACTCGGGGTCGGCGGATATTAGAGCGCTGGCCGTTATTGGCACATCATTAAAGTGTGTGTCCCTGTCCGATCATCATTGAAGTGCACGATAGTATCGAAAAATGCAGAAAGTCTATGACAAAGCGAAAATCAAGCGAGCCATGCCACTGGCCGCGACGGGCAGAAGAGCGTGCCAATATCAGCAAATGGCCCAGTAGAGAAGCGATAGTTTCGGTGACTGAAATGGCTGGTGTCTATTTGTTGCCAAATGGCTGAGTGACCTACCGGGTGTCGGTGAGTGACTGGGGTCAGAGCTGTCGGAATATTGGGATACATGTCGGAATACCGGGACACGTATTAGAATGGTGGGATACATGTCGGAATAGTTATATACATACCGGAATGATGGGACGTATGTCGGAATAGTAGGATACATGTTGGGATGGTGGGTTAGCATCAGGGAATGAATGGCATATGTCACGTGAAGAAAAAATCCTACCAAAACGCCTCATGGCAGCGACAAAGCCAGCATGCGAATATTTTGGGGCGTAGTTATTGCAGATTTGTGCCGCTCATATGAGTCACAAAAAACACTGCCGAGAGCGCCCAAGTTTGTTCGTTTACCGCATCATATGTGCGGTGCAAGCAGCCTGTTCGGAAACGTTTTTCTCTGAACATGAAGTGCGGTCAGGAATAATATGCTGCATAGTATAAGCACCTTGATGTACAGCAATTACAAGCCGCTCACGTAGTCCCCAAAATCGGGGAAAGGTGCGTTTCTTGTACAGCTTGGTGGAAAGTCATGCGGTATAGCTACACGCGTCACAAAAGCAGGCATACAATTACTACACCACTTACCGCGTTGAAAGGTCAAATACAAGCACCATGTAGCCCTACCGGTGTCAGCAATGACGCAATGCCCACACCGCAGACTCGCTAAACACGCTCGCAACACGCAGACTAATGTTTCAGGTGGTCGCCCCTAGCTCTATCCCGGCCTGCTCTACTGGTGGGCGACGCACTCTACCGTCGTCTGGCTGGGCTTGTCTAGCGGGTCTGCGCACGGGCGGGGCGGGGACAGGGTCCGCTCTCTCTCTCTCTCTCTCTGCCGTGGCGACACCCACCGGCGGCGCGTTTACCTTTCCGCCTGGCCTTGGCCGTATCGGGCGGTATTGATTGCGCCATCTCAATGGTCGGCGACTCAATACCGTCATGGCCGTCCGTCGGCGGCTCGTCGTCCGGCCATCTATCGGTCTCTTCCGGAACCGCTGGTTTCCCCGATGACCGACTAGCCGGCGCGCCATTGGCAAACTTAGCCCTGTTTTGCTGGACTAGTGGGAGAAGCGAGAAGAAAAACGGGCAGGCGGTACACCAAGGCAAAAACATGCGCTTAGTTCGAGCAGAGTCCGCAAAACAGCCAGGCTGTGCAGAGGCAGGTGCGCCTCAGACTGCGTTTGTCCTGAACGGTGCGGAGGCCACGTCTCGACAGAAAACGCGAAGCAGCCGTGTCTGCAGTTGGTACAGTAAGCAGACGACTCTTATCGTGCTAGAGTCAGAAATGTGCCTCGATCCCAATTGGACGCAGTGTCCGGAATCTGGCCCTTGTCAATGAAGGCCATTGTGGGATGCTGGGATCCAAACACACGTCTGCAGTGCAGTTAACCACGGCGTCGGGCGTCGATCGTTTCACCTCACGACACACGCGACACATCCCCTCACTCACTCACAACCACACACCGTACTACAGTGACGAGCTAGACCGTACTGGAGTGACGAGTTAGACGTTTGCAGTGCAGTTAACGACGGCGTCGGGCGTCGATCGTTTCACCGGACACACGGGCACATTCCTTACTCACTCACAACCATATACCGTACTAGGGTGACGAGCTAGACCGAACTAGAGTGACGAGTTAGACCGTACTGGAGTGACCAGTTAGACGATGATTGGTGGCGGTCGGGGCCTTAGCGTTGTATGATAAACACAACATGTCAATGACAGGATACGTGTGGAGGTGTTCCTGAACGGCGACGTGGCGCCATCAACACGACGCCCGAGAAAGCCATTCAGTTATTTTTATTTAAGTTACTACGGCCTGATCCCGTTTAACATGCAGCACTCACTACTTGTAATGACCGCGATAATGTATGTGTTTTTGTCAAGTTTTAGAATAATGCATAATGACAAGGTGCCATTCGGGGCATCAGACGAACAGCTAAAGCACAAGTTAATCCAGTCTAGCATTTGGTCACCGAAGCATCCACTCCCGGCAAAAACTCCACACGTTTGCACCAACTCACTCACCCACCCACGCACAGAACACATCAGCGAAGCAGGCCGCCAGCCGTAAAGCTCAGTCAGACGGGCTCCCCAGCCTGCTCCGCGTCGGCCATCAGGGCGCCGGCCTCAGAGCCCCGGAGTCGTGCGATGGCAGTGCGCATGCGCCGGGACTCGGCCCGAGGGCCAGCTGGCGCCCCGGGAGCAAGAGAGCGAGAAGGAAGGAGCGCGGCGCCGACGCCCGGCCCGGCTCACCTTGGTTGGTCTGCGTGGTGACGAACGTCTTGATGAGTGTATCGGTGGTCTGCGTGTAGAGCGACAAGGGCATAGCGCAGACTCTGCAGCTCTGGCGACTTGTCCAGGAAGGTCTTCTTCAGGCCGTTGCCACCAGCGTGGAAGTACTGCTTGATGGTGTCTAGCGCCACGTCCAGCACGGCGCACTGCTTCGGCGACAGGTTCTTCTCCGCCTCCTTGGAGATGTCCTGCCGCAGCGGGTAGAAACCGGGTCAATGAGCAACAACGTGAGTGATGCTGCATTGGCAGAATGGACTGGTAGCATGAGCTGTCCGCTTCGAAAGCGCGATCGGAACGGCGAGCAGCAAGCCCAGATCAGTCTCAATGACGGTACTAGCGATGGTTCACTTCTGTCTCGCTTGGTTCGAATATTGTCACTGAAAAAACCCAGAGTTGAATATACCGGGTGTTTTTTAACGAAGTATTTTATTCGCTCGCAAGGAGCACAAAAAGGTCCATTCTCCAGTGGAAAGCACATAGTATTATGTCGAATGCCCTGAACAATTTATAATCCATTGCTTTTATTAGGCGACCACCATACATTTGAAGGACCAATGATAGAAAACACCACTTGGATGAGCACCATTATAATGTGTCCTACTGGAACACACGATTATGGTTTTTTCTTATTTTCCCCCCAAAATACATTTTCGCCACGTAGTTTCGACGCTCGAATTACAGCAGACGCCATGCCGTCATAGTGCAATGTGGCCGACAGGTGCCGCGCCTGAATAATGCTTGCATGAAGAACGTATACGGTGAGTCATGCTCGTAGCGTGGGTCGTGTTCACGTGAGCTTCGCTCGACTGAAGTCACATCAGCCTCCCAATACATGTCCAGGCAGTTGTCGCCGTTCACTGAGATGGCCTGGTGAAGCCAATGCGTGACTGTCTCGCCTTGAACAAACCATTTTCAACATCACATGTCACCTGATGTTCAAATTTGACCAGATGGACAAGGCAGCCATTGGCAAAAATCCGTTCTTGACAGCTTCTGCCCGTCTGGCAGAGGGACCACCGTGTGAGGCCGGCACCAGCCCGGGGATCACCGTGTGAGGCCGGCACCAACCCGGGGACCACCGTGTGGCAGGGGGACCACCGTGTGAAGCCGACACCAGCCCGGGGACCACCGTGTGTCAGAGCGACCACCGTGTGAAGCCGGCACCATCCCGGGGACCACCGTATGTCAGAGCGACCACCGTGTGGAGCCGGCACCAGCCCGGGGACCACCGTATGTCAGAGCGACCACCGTGTGGAGCCGGCACCAGCCCGGGGACCACCGTATGTCAGAGCGGACCACCTGTGGACGGCAACCAAGCCCGTGGGACCATCGGTGAATCCGGAACCATCCCAAGTGGAAACCCCACGTTGATGGCAGGGGACCACCGTGTGTAAGCCGGCCACCATCCCAGGGGACCAACGTTGTGCAGGGGGACCACCGGTGAGGCCAACACCCAGCCCGGGACCACAGTGTAAGAGAGAACCCACCGTGTGAAACCGGCACCATCCCAGGGACCACCGTGTGGCAGAGGGACCACCGTGTGACGCTGTGGGTACCAGCCCAGCCGTTTCTTTACCATTCGCTAAACGACGGACACGTCAAAAATGGGGAAATTCTACCGCCTGTCGCAGGGAGACGGACTCTCCGTGATGGGATCCAGGAATAGTTTGATGTGCTGCACGAGCCGACCGGGCGGCGTCGATCTGGCGCTGGTCCACTGGCGCAGCGGGCTGTACCGGGCCCCGGGGGGCTCGTAGTCGGGCCAGGCGCTTACGGGCGCTGGCGCGCGGGGAACGACGTGTAAATGCACCTCAAAAATCGTCCTGAGCCACTTTTCTCTCTCACAAGATTGCTTCGGACTGCTCTAAAATCCAAGTTCATTCAGGTCTCTTACTTCATGAGAAAGATGTGTTGTCGCACATGCCCCGGTGACGCACCTGTTCGGCCATATGCCGGAACATATTACCTTTTGGTTAAATAAGATGCCATAATTGAAATAAAATGAAATAAATAAACAGTGTGATTGAAATGTTATGAAATGAATAAACGAGGCAATTGAAATGGTAGCAGTAATAAATAAACAACATAACTGAAATGATAGCTGTAATAAATAAACAACATGAATGAAATTGTAACTGAAATGAATTAATGCAATAACAGAAATGTCAACTGAAATATATAAATGAAATGACAGAAATAGCAAATAAAGTAGATAAATTTGACCCGAGAAAAAGCAATGAAATGGATTAACGAATTACTAAATAATAGGATTATTGGCGTGGAGTGCAGGGTTGAAGTGGAATGACCGTCCATTTCCCTGTTACTGTTGCTGCTACTGTATCGGTTCACCAGCGTGTTAAGTTGTCGCTGCCTCCGCACAGCCAGTATTGGAACGCGGTGCCTGCTGGACACATTACGCTGTGGAGGTAAGGCGTCTGCCGAAACTCTAACGTTGAGATCCGCAATACAGTTATGTGCTGGTGGCGTAAAACTAGTATGTGGTGACATATCTGAATATTCTGCATCCGAATATTCACCTTTCACAGACGTAAATGTCTGTTTTATGTACTAATTAACAAGAAATACAAAACGTCCATTCTAAAACACCCGCTTTGCGCCTCTCGGCCGCCCACCAGTACAAAGCTCATACACCGCTAATGGAAACCGTACAAAAGCACTTCCACCATGGCATGCACACAACGCCACTGCATCGTTGGGCGCATTTCAAGAGCAGGTCGCACACAACCTTCAAGAACGCCAACGGGAAGAAAACTACTCCAGCCGGTCACCGGATCATTGTGCAGGCTCATTGTTGCATTCGTCGCTTAAAAGTCTCAACGCCAAAAGTACTTACCTACCTCCGCCACCAAGACTATCCAAGCAGTGCTTGGGAGAACGGAGCATGTCGCCCACCGCACGACCCATCACCAAAGCAAAAACACGGCGCCATTACGACGAAGCGCCGGCCCGGGACCATGGTGCTGCGTGTCATGACCTCACTGACCTTGGAGGGAGGTTGATCTGATTTCTGTGTCCACGCTGGCCAAACACTAATCAGCTGATGGAACAGGGGCGGGGCGGATACGTTGGAAACGAACACAAAAGCTTCCGGTTATCAGGCTGCAGAGTCCCGACGGCAAAATACGGCCAGCACGAGCGCCCCTAGAGGGATAAACAGCACCGGCCTAGAGGGACTGGGCGTGCTGTGCCTTCGACACGAGTTCAGAGGTCGCGAAGACGAAAAAGGCGTAGTAAATCACTAAGACTGGGGCTGTAGCGAAAACACGTATTGGGTATTCCTCAGGCGTTTGACAGCCGCTTACCATAACATTGGGTATTTCTCAGGCGTTTGACGGCCGCTTACCATAACATTGGGTATTTCTCAGGCGTTTGACGGCCGCTTACCATAACATTGGGTATTTCTCAGGCGTTTGACGGCCGCTTACCATAACATGGGGTATTTCTCAGACGTTTGACGGCCGCTTACCATAACATTGGGTATTTCTCAGGCGTTTGACTGGCCGCTTACCATAACATTGGGTATTTCTCAGGCGTTTGACGGCCGCTTACCATAACATTGGGTATTTCTCAGGCGTTTGACGGCCGCTTACCATAACATTGGGTATTTCTCAGGCGTTTGACGGCCGCTTACCATAACATTGGGTATTTCTCAGGCGTTTGACGGTCGCTTACCATAACATTGCTGATGGCATTCTTGACGTCTTTACCGCCGCCGGCCATGTGGTTTTTGATGAGGCGAGACATATCCTCTATCTTGGCATTGGCTGCCAAGTTCTTCGCGTTATCTGTCAAGCTCTTGAAAATCATCTGCAGAGCAGAAGCCGCCGTTACGATGCTACTCTGTTTAGATAATCGCGATGACTGTAATGACAGAGCCCCAAAAGGGGCCTATCATATTCATGAGCCGTTGACTTTCCAAAAAGAAAGAGACACTCTTTTACATCCAAAGCGAAGTAAAATGTTTACTCAATATCTCTTAAGGCCTAATTCAGCCAGTAGAGTCCTTAAAATGACAGAGTCTAGTCTGGTGAAACATGGATTGACGGCTTCATGGACAGTGGACGCCCATGTTTCATTATGTCATAGTCTGCTCATTGCTGCGTATCAATCAACGTAAAACATTTCCTAAAAAACAAACGCACATTTGACTTGCATGCCACATGGAATCTCCTTTACGAACAACGAAACGCAAACGAATTCAGGAACACATCCCAAGCTAGAGAAGCGCCTGCAAGTCTACCCGGTTAGCATACATACATATATAAGGTCACAAACTCTCAAACTTCTGCCTTTGCAAGCCTGAGGAGTTGGTCGCCAATAACCCAGCGCCCAAGCAGGCTAGCTTTACGATATTAAAATATCAACTCTCAACTTAGCTGATATCCTGTCAGAGTGTCTGACAATAGTTGGATGTGATACGCACTCTTGACAGCTGCATCAGCCTGGTTTCATTTCAAAAGACGCCTCCAAACGTTTGTCCGATAACTCAATGTGACGACCAACGTAGACGTGGTCCGATAAGGCATCCACGGTCATAGCCTGTCCCTCTCAGATAGCTCGACTCACGCTCTTGTCGCTCATCGGCGGTAGGACCACCGTTTTCTCCATGGTCGTCATGACTATCCGCCAGAGCTCCTTCAGCAGCCGCTTCAGCACCGTCTTCTCGCAGCTCTGCGCGTACAGCGACAGGGAGCCGTCCAGCAGGTCCATCAGCGGAGTGAGCACCTGCGACAGGCCACGGACCGGGCTAGACGGCGACCCACCCGCTGCCTGCAAACTCCCAGCGCTCGGACACTGAGCTTCACATTTAAACCACTGTGGCGAGAGGGCGCCACTGAGACTTAAGCGTGACACAGTATGCAGATGGCTTGGAACTGGTGATGGCTTCTAGCGGCCGACCGCACGCACGTTGCCGCATCGGGGTGGAAAGCACTGCTTAGCCGCGCTTGAGCTGACCCGAGCCGCTTACGCTGATCTGAGCCTATCAGAGATGCGGCCAGGCTTTTCTTAAGAGTGTGTGCGGGCGTGGGGAAAGCCCTGAGCCATCGGTGGTACTAAAGGTTAACAATGTGGGCCTGAGGGGGTGGATGTGGAGGGCGGTCTCCCCTGAATGGTACCTAAAATCTACTTTGCCTGGTCTGGTACACCTGAGCTAGCTTGCGTCCACCGCCTGAGTTAAAATAACCCTATTTGGGTTGACCTTTTCGTGCCTGACCTGACCTACCTGAGCTGACTTGCCTGCCCTGACCTGAACTGAACTGACCCACTTGAACTGACCCACTTGAGTTGATCTCCTGGACGGATTCTTCCGGTCCGACTAGACCCACATGAGCTGACCTGGCCTGAACCAGACCTGAGCTGAGCCGACTTTGTCGGACTGAGGCGACCTGAGCTGACATGACCCGCCAGGTTGACCTGACCCAGCAGAGTTGACCTGCCCCGTCCGAGCAGACCTGACCCCCGTCTGATCCAGGCGGCAGCCACTAACCTCATCTGCCTCGCCGGCCACGATGTTGCGGTTGGTCGGCTGGTTAAGCTGGCCGCCGCCCTTGATGGCGGACAGCAGATTACCCAGCTCCTGCACCGATGAGGCGATCTTCCGCTCCAGGCTGCCCGGCCCAGGATCAGACGTCGGACGGTGACGAGACCAAGCACTGACATTACCAGGACGGCATCACCTTGTTCGGACCATTCGACCGTGACGTGGCGTGCGGCGTGGGAAGGACAGCGGACGGCGCCGTCCCTCCGCCTCCCCGCGGCGCGTCGACGGCGCTAGCATCAGCCTGACTCGAGGGGGTGGGACTCCGCCCCAAGGTTGAGAGGTCATGAAGCATCCCTGGATGTCAGCGACGGGAGAGCGCTCGGAAGCTGACTTTTCCGAGAAGCCGGTCCTGATCAATGCGAGGGACCGGTCAGCCTTCCCCCGGGGATTTCATGTGTCACGGACATGACATTCCGCATATGAGGGCAGACAGGTCAGCGGCGCGGACCGGGGTCCTTTGGGCTGGGAGAACCCGCCACGAAATGGAAACGCACGGACACGCTCAAAAATGTTTACCGAAAGCCTTTGATTGACGAGAACACAAGCTTATTTCCTTAAGTGGGGCAGTTTTAGGAGGCAGGCAAACAAGGAGATAAACGCTCCTGCACGCCTTCCCCGGAGTACCATCAGCACACGGCCATCGCTGGCGGACCTTTTCGCAAACATCTGGGCGAGGTCGTCGAGCACGGCGTTCAGACTCTGCTGCAGCTCCTTGAGGATGTTGGCGGCGCCCTCCTCCAGCGACTCGCCGCCCATCTGGTTGTACATCTTCTCCAGCTCCACGCGCAGCTGCTGGATGTTGTTCATAAGGATGCACGCCTGCCGACACGGCCAACACACGGGGGCCGTCACGCCGTTGGAGTGTCAACCATTCCACCGACAGCTTTTCTCACCAGGCGGCAGAAGACGTCTTCGGCTTGATGCATTGCTGCGAAGACGGCGTGAAACGTATGGATGACGTGTGTACATGGGGTGGGGTGCAAAGTATTAACCACGCATGCAAAGAGAACGGGATATGACACTAGCCTTTTGGAGACAACATGTACCATTCCTAATTTAGTTGCTGTGCTACTTTATGACCGTGACTAAACAAGAATTTGGGGTAAACCATAACTGCCATCATCTTACACCTTCATCTTTTCCTGCAACGCTTACCTCTTCATTGAACTAGCGCTGCTCTAGTTCGGCAGCTATGAAACGCATGGACAGACAGAGGCATAGAACTTATAGGCATATAACTAAATAGAACTTACCACCTTTTGCAGCACACAAGATCAAGACCTCTAAAATGCATTTCCCGCAATGCCGAACGATGACACATTCTACATGTCCTCCAGCCGTAATCGCTGCCGGCGGAATTTAATTTACTAACAACATTGGTGGAACAATTAGCAGAACACCACGCATTCGGTTGGCTCGAATGCCACGCCAGTGTAGCACACCTGGCACCCACATACCGTCTTTTCGTCCTGCACGTAGTTGGGGAACTCCTTCTTGGTGATGTCGGCGTAGGCGAGCAGCACCTTGACGATGGTGCGGGCGAACCGCTTCATGTAGCGCTTCCAGATCTCCGGGTCAGGCGTCTCCAGCTTGGAGACCACGTCAAAGCACTGCGCCAGCTGGGTGAAGATGTCCACCACCGAGTTGGAGAAGAGCGAGTGCTCAGAGCTCTGTTGGAACTGCAGTATCCAAGAGAAGGGAGGGGAGGGGAGGCGTCAGAGCGCGCCCGCCGGGACGCGGAGGACACGAGACTACGGGGGCTGCGAGCGGATAGTTTAACGTCATGTCTACTTTTGCTCAGCTCAGACGGACCGAAGCGCGCGCCGGCGACCTCAGACGGCACCCGTCGGAGGAACACTTGAGATCGCGTGCATTTGCATGACTCAGACAATTTAGGACCAGGAACGAACTGACAACGGCTGGCCTGGGACGTGGTTCGGCAATTGGGAACGGTTCCCGAAACGGCAAGCGTTCAGACTCCGGACTAATGAAAGCCAAGATCGTTTGGGGCAGAGAAAAATGGCCTCTATGAGGGATGTTCGGTCGACTAAGAGCCCGCTGAAAATACGACCGCCTTGAAGATTGTCCGTGTGTACGAACAAGCAAGGTTTACCGTGCTGGTTTAGCGGCACGGAGCCACAGACCAGTTCCTTGGTCGGCTTCCTCTTTATGGCAATGTACAATCTCCGATCGGTGGTGTTCAACGCCAAACGGCTGGCAAGACGCCTCGCGAACGTTTTTGCACCCATTATGGCAACACAGCGGCAAGGCAGGGCCTCGACCTCGCCGCACCAGAGCCAACAGACGCCGGGGAGCACGGCACCATAACTGACTGGAAATCGATTGAACATGTTCAAAATCGAGCGCGTCAGTGACATTAACCTCTGCGTACAACTGTAACACCCTCTGAGAAGCTATATTATTTATTATCACGAGTGCTTTGTTCCAGTGAAGTCCTGCGTTTCCTAGAAGCGACGCAAAGATCGATCGATTAGAGGTAGGTTTCAACATAAATTGTCCATGACTGCAGCCCCTCAACTGCTGAAGCCAAACGGGCCTAACGCAAACAGGGCCTTAAACAAACCACCTGTGGCAAACAAGACCCGCGCACTTGCAAAAGGCACTACTAAATCATTTCGAAGTCAGCGAGTGATAACATTCCATGCCTTTATGATTGATGATCAACTGGTTTCTTTGCCATACAGTCATATTGATCACAAAGCAGCATACAAGAGGTGAACTACAAACGCCAGGTTCGTGCAGACTCGGAAGTCTTCAGCACATGATCGTTAGACGCTGGCGAAGCACTCTCATCTTCTGCGAAGTGCCCTCGTATCGAAAGCTCAAAGGCTTGAGGAAGTGGGCACGTGCGATTGAAGGGCTCGGCTCACAAAAAGATTTCGATAGTGAAATGTATCATTTGGAAATAGCGATAGGCCTCATGGTAACGAAATAGCACCGATGCATATATATATATATATATATATATATATATATATATATATATATATATATATTTATCATGTTTGGAACTCTACGACACATTTGTGGAAAATAAAGTTATGTGCATTAATTTTTATGGAATGTATTTTGAACTATTGATATCAAGCTTAACACGCGCTCGGGTGGGGGTCAAATTAACTTTTCTCCGAGAGTTTTCTGGAATAGTTTCCGAACGGCGCGACGTAGCCACGCCGAATGTGGCATAGCTGTAGACAATGGAGTAGCGGAATGTGTGGCATAAAATAAACTTGTAAGGTCGCTGACATACGACATGATGACATGGTCTGACATGGTCTGACATGACATACGTCAAAGTCAGACCATGGTTTCGGCGAAGTAAATTTCTCGGGAATCGTTCAGTCTGATGCAACAACGGAGTGTTAAACGAAACCATACATTTCTGATATACTTTTTTAGGCAACACAACAATTAAGTGGCCAAATTCCGTTAACCTAGAGCAAGGTATGGAAGTCATACCAAGGTCAAAAACAACCTGTTTTATTACTCCAGAGAAGTTTCTGTATGGGGTAGTTTCTGGTGCTCATTTCGAATTGATTGAAAACAGGCATCGCGTTAGACAGCTTTAATGGGCTTCTTAAAGGTCATAATAGGTCACTGACCTAAAATAACTCAGGTCGATTGCGTTTTAGGAACACGCTGTCTAACGTAATCTTAGTCGCTCCTTCAAATGCAAAACTCAAGGCAATCTTCTATTGTTTTGGTCACCGTGACCTTTGAAAGGTCAAACAAAGTCACTGACCTTCACTGAGCATGCGACCTTTTACTTGGAACAGGTATCTAGATTTTGAGATACTTTGAAAACCAATTTGCAGTTTGACATTGGTTGACCTTATATGACCCGAGGATCATGACCTAAGAACCTCACAATTCGACCCAAGCGATTTCACGCACAGATCAATACACCCTGCAAATGTGGCGTCTCTAGCTCTCTTAATTACTGAAATCTCAGGGACGTCAAATTGACCCCCGCCCGAGCGGAAGGTATCCAATTGGTCACGCGGGTGCGTGCTACCGGGTTATCCAACATGTAGCTTTATGTAACCGAATTCATCAGTACCGACTGCATATTAAATCAACAGCAAATCAATCCGGTTTTACAGAGCTTCCAGAAGGAGCATCATTTCCCCACTTCCACAGCACATGCGAAACTTCAATTCAAGTCATCGACCGTACCCAAGTCCGTATGGAGCTACCGTAGCTGGAAACAACCGCGCTTTATGTCCAGGATTCAGCCAAGCGCTATGTCCTCTGCGCCCGTCTCAGCACTTCTCCGTAGCGCTCGCTGTCATCGGAGACAAGACACTCACGCCGTCCTTCATATCCCTGGCGAAGGCACCGTTGAGGTATTCCAGGCTGACATCGTCATTCTCGTTGAGCCACTGCATGACGGACGACTCGAACCAGGTCGGGTACTCGGGTACCGATCCCTTGTATGGCGGCGCGTCCTTGGCGTACTGGTTGTACAGCCACTTGACCTGCAAGCCACGCGTTGCGTCAGCAGGCTGCGAAATCACGTGACTTGTGACGTAGAGCGTCACATCGGCAGGGTGCACGGGCGCGTGACCTGTGAAACGCAGTGTCATGTCGGCGGCTCAGTAATGGCGTGATCTGGAGACGAACTGTTACGTTTTGTAACACTGCGCGGAAAAGTAGGATTACTTAGCCGTCGGGGTAAAGCGTCGCCGCCTCGTTTGGTGCTTACCCTGTGCCAGTGGCATGCCATCTTATCTCATGTCTATTTTTTCAATACAGGTAATATGCTTGTTTGCTGTTCAACCAGTTCGGAAGCCACAACCTTAATTGATAACAGCCTGCAGAAGAATGTAACCACACGGTTTCCGCTCACTCGGCTCACACCGTATCGTGGCGCTTCGTTCAACCCACACAGGCTTTAATGGATGAGACTGTCTAGTTCTCACCCTTCGCCGCATAAAAAACAACTATTGAAGGAAGCATTAGCGCTCACCCGCGATGCAAAGGCCAATATCCGTGAAACACGACCACGCTCTTCACTCAATAAATTTTGGAATATGGCATCAGCGCGATGGCCTGTGGCACACAACTCCTCGACTATGGGAGATAATCAGGTGATGGAGATGACAGCCACCTGGGGCCAAGCAGATATTCGCCGAAAGGAAGAGCCGGAGAGCCACGGCCCGACCAACCTTTCCACTCAGGGAGTGGCCTTCATCGCACCTGACCGCAGACTGCGGAGCAATGACATGAACCCACAAGCCGCGCGCATCCCAACATTGCCGGGCCGTTACCTTGAAGTGCAGATTCATGTAGGCGGCCGACTTGCAGAGCCGATGCTGGCTGTGCTCCTCCAGCGCATACTTGATGTCCAGCGAGAACTGATGCCACATCACCGACGCGGACAGCTGCGGACAGCCGGCATTCATCAGCATCATTCCACCTCGCGAACAGCTAGCGATACAGACCAGTCTAGCAGCCCAGAACATGCCGCGGTCAGCGGCGGCAGGATATGCCCGCCAGGTTTAGCCCCTACCTGGCAAAGACATGACAATTTTCTAGCTTTTTTGGGGGGTTTACACCAGTCAGTTATGTTTAAAAAAGCAACACACGCTTCCTTTTGCTTTTGCTTTTCCTACGCTTTACTTGCGCCTCTATTTGTCCTTCCGCTAAGCTGTGCGCAGGACGCTGACGTACCTATTCTATTCTAAGATCTGGACATTTTTATTCTCCTACAACCTGAAGAAGGCACTGACCAATTTATTCGTTGGTCCAGCTCGAATGGGTAGTTTGACGAACATTTTGAGTAATTTCTTGCCATATAAGCATCAACTTCTATTTTTCCAAAGCTAGGAGAGTTGAGATCTCCTGAGATCCTAAGGGGTCCTGAAACCTCCCGAGGTCCTGAGGGATCATGAGATCTCCCGAGATCCTGAGAGATCATGAATTCTCCCGAGAAAGGTACCCTGGTTCCATGCCCATGAACAAGGCAATTAATCGTGTTACTGAATGAAAGGAATAAATTGCGCAATGATTATTCGACAGGAATTTTTATCCAATGGTGTAAAAGCTTGTGTAAGCCGCTGTTCGAGAGACCGTTCTCCTGTGAATGTAAGAGAATGTTCTCTCAACGGTTTCTCATGTGTATGAATCGCAAAATAGATTTATGAAGCTTTACAGGAGTTGCAATACCACCAAGGAATTCATAATATTAGCGTTTCCACGTTTGCATCAACCGACGCAAACCTGCAAAGCAAAAATCATCACCGCCGAACGATTATATGCATAAGCATAAGCCCAACACGGTTTTTCAGTCGGTTATCGTGCACCGGCAGACAGGATGACGCGGTTTTTCAGTCGGTTGTCGTGCACCTGCAGACATGATGACCTGCATTAGGTCATCCAGGCCTCTCTAGTTTCTAAACGCCGCAGGCACAGGAGTAATGCATCTCATATTTCGCTATCAGCATCGGCAAGATGGCCGATCAGTGGACAAACGTTCACTCCGATTCGTCCGGTCCGATTCTGCTAAACATCTGAGATGCCTTCATCTTCAATGTCTAGGCGGCTGCCATGGCAACTCGTCACTAAAGCGGTGGCCGATGGTCCCGTGCAGCATCCGCTGACCGGTCGGCAGGGGGCAGCGGGCAACGGCCGGCGGCAGCGGCCGGCGGCTGCCGCCCTCCCGCGGGATGACATGACCCCGGCCCAGCCCCAGGGTCAACACTAACTCAGCGCCGCTCGACAGAAGTCGATAAGCAAACGCTGAAATACAGGTGGCAGCCGTCCGGTCCAGCCGCGGCGGTGATCTGTTTGGGCTGGCGGCGACGCTGGCCGGCGTAATGTGGACCTCTGTCCCATGCCTCGGCACCTCCCTGATTTCTTGTAGTCCACCACTTCATTGATCCCGCCATATTCAAGTAATGGAATGTTTACGCCATGACCCGATGGAGTGATTTGGTGCGTAGTCCATTTTGATTTTGAAGAAAGAATCGAGTGAGTATAACCAAAGATCAAAGCACCGGATGAAGTCAATGGACGATGTTTTCCTCACGAGGTCCCACGTGAAGAGCAACAATGTCTTTTGTGTGCCGTTCAATGCCATGACGCAACCGCCCCATACCAGGTCCAGTCTCTTTGACCGATTTTCAAACGCACTTTTCACATTGTTAGAGTCTATGAATCCGCATAACCTGAGGTCATTACTTCAAAGACAAATTCTCTCGCCGACATTCCTTTTTTCCCTTCATTCGGTCGGCCGCGTCAAAGCATTGTACGTCATTGACCTGCAAAATGAATCTACGCCAACAACTTACTTTTAAGGAATACTCACGTAAGCCCATTCACCAGGTGGTGGATGATAACATATTTGGGGAAATTGTGTACAAAATGAAACGCAAAAAAATCTTGGTCTGTATCTTTAAAAATGACAAGGTAGAACTGACAGCAGGCAACACTGCATTTTAGATAAAGCACACCACTCCGAGACAACTGCGCTTATAAAACACCATGCCCACTGGGCACAATGGGGGATCGCCCCCAAGCCGACATATCTCCCTCCCGAGTATTTCATCCGCGCCATGCGCCGGACGCTGCCGGCGCGCCATCCACCGGCACGATCCCGTCCGGAACCGCAGCGCGGCCCTCTGTCCCTCCCCCCGCTACCACTAGCTCGGTCTCATCGGCGCCCGTCCGGAGATAGCAGCGCGGCCCTCTGTCTCCCCCCCCCCCCCCGCTACCACTGGCTCGGTCTCTTCAGAGTCCGTCCGGAGACAGCAGCGCGACCCTCTGTCCCTCCCTCACCACTGGCTTGGTCTCATGGAAGTCAGCCGTGCTCACCGAGGCATGGCCCGTATTATCCCTCACCACTGGCTCGGCCTCATGGGAGTCAGCCGTGCTCACCTGGCCGATGTTGAACTCCTGCGGGAACTGGCTGAGCACGGGCGCGTAGCTGTTGCGGTCCTCGTCGATGACGGACACAATGAGCGCCACCAGCTTATGCCAAAAGTCCAGCGAGTCCAGACGTGGTCCGTGGTCGTCGCCTTCCCGCTTCATCTCATTCGGATCCGGCTGCGACACGTGGCGCGGCGCGTGGCATGACAAAGTTGGGCTAAGCATAGGGTGGCACCAGCTCTTGTGGTCTCGGGCCATTGGTGCAGTTCGGAGGAGCCAGTACGGGACAGCATTCCACAACAGGGTGTGCGGCACGGCTGTGCACGGCATCAATAATTTCGGGGATTGTGTGTTCTGCGATGTCTATGGCAAAGGCGACGCTTGGTCACAGCCTAGAAAGCTAAATTTTAAAAAAAATGCAAGTAATGCTTTAGGTTGACGCGGTGTGTGCTACATGTGATGTAACCCCACAAACAGACTTATATATAAATGCGCCAAGGCAATCCTGTGCCTGGCAGGCAGCCGGCGGGAATGCTCGTCACGATCCAGACTAACACGAGCTTCACTTCGGATGCACTACCAGTGAGCTGTAACTCGCGCGCGTGCCTAAGTAGGCATGGCGTCACATAAGCTGCAGTAGACGCGACGCACATCGGACAGCGCCTTATGTACCCCTTCCCCAACGCGAAAACGCTGCAGGGGCGTCCAAAGCGTCAGAACTGTGTATGCGGATCTGCAGCAAAGGCAGCCCAATATCATCCGCACAAGATCGCGACAGGCGACCGTCTCAAAACGTCGTAAGATGACTGAAACATCCCGCTCGTCAGCTGTGAATAACTGCAGACGGTCCTCCTTTTCAGGAGGACCCTCCACCGGTCCTCCTGCGGCGTCGAGGACGGCATTTCTGCCCAGCTCTATGCTAGCGCCGTTTACTTCACACAGTTGCGGCCCTGGATGAGAGCTGAGCGCAGCGGCGGCACGTGGCGGCGCCCGCTCGGCGCCGACCTTACCTGGAACTCGCGGCTGTAGAGATCGTAGCAGTTCTCGAACAGGAACTGGTACGTGGACTTGAGACAGGCCTCGGCGCAGTCGCGAACCACCGTGCTAGCCCGGGGCGGGTGCGTGATCTCCTGGACCTGCACACGGATCGGCCAGTCACCATCCACGCCGAACACGGCCAGGCGCGCCCGCCGCCACCCAGCCAAGCCGCGGCCGACTTATGGAGCCTCTCAGCTACATGGGCAATGCTGACGTTCCTATGCAAATGGCGGCAGAGGAGTCGAGCCTTGGTGTTAAATGAGACAGGACCCGCACTGCGAGGCTTTGTTCTGTGGTATCCATTTGGTTTGAGCTCCGGACAATGCCAGGCCATTATTCGCGGTCACAAAGGGTTGTGTGAAATGTGGCAGCATAGCTGGGAAGCGCGCTTCATTTGTTTCATGACGACGCCCATGCCATCAATGTGAAATCTCCAACGGATGCACTGATGACGAGCAGCGATTCCGTACTATCTATAAATCTAACGGCGAGGGGTAGGTTTGCCAATATACAGAACCGACCGCAAGAGTGCTCGGCAGTATTCGGCTTGTTAGAAGACGAGGTGTGGTTAACAAGGCGTTTCAAGCGCAAGCCCACGGAGACCCCAACCATCATCAGCTACCAATTCTGGTCGGCGTGATCCAACTGGATTCATCTCCCGAAACAGTCAATGTATCCAACTGTCAGCTCATCCCAACTACAAACGGCCGGCATTTATAAGGAGAATCTAAAGGTCATTTCACCAACTCACGTGAGAGGCGTCCACATTCATGGCCGTTGGATTTGGGGGAGGTGAGAATGCTGCTCACAGGTCATTGGCTGGCCATCGCCTGTCTCGGATGGGCGTGCCGCACCATGATCAATTCCGCCGCATCAATGGCGGAGACACGATGCCGTGACCGAAGCTATTGCGTCAGCGGTGAGGACATGACGCTACGGCAAGTCCACCGTGGCAGAATGGGCCCGTCTGTGCGGCGCGCTGTGTTCGAAACCTGGACGCGGCTCTTGCAGACAGCGGCCCACAGCCGGCCGGAAGGCGAGACCGTGGACCGCCACAGTCGCCCCCGGGCGCGCCCGCACACCGCGCGCACCGTTCGTCATCTGAGCGCCTGCACTGTTCCCACAAGTCGGACCGCACGGCCGGCAGAACCGGCTCGATCCGGCTCTGTCTGGCCTGAGCGGTCGTCACAATCAGACGCGGCGCACGCGGCCCGGCCAGCGCGGTGGCTCAGCGACGGCGGCACTATCGGTGCCCGCCAGGCCCGTGGTCCCACGGACCGTCGAACGGACGGGCCGACGGGCGCCGACGACACGACAGGGCGGCGGCGCCCGAGACCACCGTCATCCAGTCGCACGCAGGGACAGGCGGCACGGGGCCAGCTCATGCTGTTTACTTTGCCTGAGATTGAGGGAACGGCGATCTCAGGTTGTAGTCCGCGACTCCCTTGGGAAATACCGGCAAAATGGTTGCCATACCCGTGATAAAGCCGACATTATGTAATGAAAAACCGACCTTAGTAAGAGAGGATGACCAAAACCAATACTTTCTCGTCTTCCAAAACGTTTGCCCACGTTTTTGGGCCCTTGTTACTTCATCCTTTACCGGACGGACCTCACTGAATGCCAGATGACCCGCTTACCTTCATGCGGAAGAAAGTGATACTGGTAAGCAGATCGACTGTCGACTTGAGGTCCTGCAGCTTTTCTGGCGAAGAGGCCGGGAAATTGTTCCGGTACATGCTCAGGTCTATGCGCAGGGAGTTATGTAGCTGGTCCAGCAGCTTGACGAATTTCTCTTTCTGTGGAGACATGCAGCATTATGGTTAGTCCAGGTAGACATGTGTGTACGACATATAGCTGCATATACATAGTTGGAGACTTGACAAGCACACTTTCTAACGAAATGCAAATAGCGCTAAAGGGTACGCCTCCATATGGCAAGAAGCATTAAGCATGAACACATTTTGTTCAGGCGGTCATGATACGGACCGCAGACGGGGGTGCCCATGCCTTATACGCGTTGCCGTGTACCCGCGCCTGTCTCCATGCTGAGTTTGATTTTGAGTGCACATTTTGGTCGTAGCTTAGTTCATTACTGCAAATTAAGTGCCGTCAGGCCGTGCGCTCCTAAAACAACCGTTAGAATTGATCACATAATTAGCTTCCCCTAACCAAACTTAGCCTGCACGTCTCAGTTTTATATGGCGGGGGCGAGCTTTGCGCCGTTCCGGGTACCGGATGTTACAGAGGTACAACGATGGAGCACTCAGCCGTGCGCACACTTTGGTTCACGGTCAGGTCGTATTCAGCTAATACTACGAAAGTATTGCAAAAAGGCTTGCGGGATTAAAGACTAGGGGCTAAAGACTTGTAGTGAAACGCGTAGTGTATGATTCTTTCATCGTCCCCATTTCACGTTCCATTTCGTCTCGTTCCTTACATTTCCTCTCTTTCATACAAGTAGCGCACACAGATAACGGCAACTTCCACACATCCATAGTCCTGAACAAGGGCACCAAGCCATTTCAAAAGCATCTTTATGCAGGCTCCGAGGCATCTCATACGTCATTTCCGAGCGACCGATTTCCGGAGTGCATTTCGGCATGCTCTGATAACGGCCCGAATGCATTAGCCGCGGCTGTCAGCCCGGCCCTGCGACCTCATGTGGGGGCGTGCTGAGATACCGACCTCCCAGCGCGGCCGGTCACACAAGCAACGAACGCTCGCCCGGCCACCTCCCAGCGCGGCCGGTCACACAGGCAACGAACGCTCGCCCGGCCACCTCCCAGTGCGGTCGCTCACACAGGCAACGAACGCTCGCCCGGCCACCTCCCAGCGCGGCCGGCCACCACCCAACGCGGCCGGTCACACAGACAACGAACGCTCGCCCGGCCACCTCCCAGCGCGGCCGGTCACACAGACAGTGAACGCTCGCCCGGCCACCTCCCAGCGCGGCCGGCCACCTCCCAGCGCGGCCGGTCACACAGACAACGAACGCTCGCCCGGCCACCTCCCAGCGCGGCCGGTCACACAGGCAATGAACGCTCTCCCGGCCACCACCCAGCGTGGCCGGTCACACAGACAACAAACGCTCGCCCGGCCACCTCCCAGTGCGGCAGGCCACCTCTCAGCGCGGCCGGTCACACAGGCAACGAACGCTCGCCCGGCCACGGGGTCCACAGATCCACACGGTCACGGGGTGAGTATGATGGCCGGGCGAGTCACCCGGTCACACGGTCACTAGAGTCACCCGGTCACACGGTCACCAGGTCCAGCAGTCCACACGGTCATAGGGCCCACCCAGCCACGCAGTGACTAGAATCCCCCGGTCACACGGTCATCAGGTCCAACAGTCCAACACGGTCAGCAGACCCACCCGGCCACACAGTCACTAGAATCACCCGGTCACACGGCCACTAGACTCACCCGGCCACACAATCATCAGGTCTAGCAGTCCCACACGGCCAGCAGACCCACCTGGCCAAACTGTCAGAGTACCCACTCGGCCATATGTCTAGCAGGTCCACTGCGACTCAACCAGGCAGTCAGCAGATCCGCACGGTCACATGGCGATCCTAGCCGCTCCGGCCATGGCGCACGGTTAGCGGGCCTGAGCACCGCTGTAGGTATGCCTGGTAGCGTGCATCCAGTCCCTACAGCCCGAAGGCTGGGAGGCGCCGCGTGCATGGCATGCAGACAGGACACGGGATGTTTTCAGACGACGAATTTTCGCGTCGAGAAAGACGTCCGTAAGCAGCCCCGCGCCGCATTTACTGTCGCTCAACCTGGCCTTCAGATCACGCCAGCCTGGCAGACAGTCCCTGGAGCCGACCTCTCACTCGCTCCTCAGGAGAGGTCACCGCAAGACGGGCTTTAAGGAGGCGATCTCGCCAGCACAGGGCAAAGCCGTTCATGCGGCTGATGGTCGCCCACTGACGCCACCTTCCCTGGTGGAGCCCGGTCAGCTCCGCCCTGCGACAAACGCACCCGGAGGGAAGGGAACCTGCCTCGCATCGGCGGACGTGCTTGAGTTTGAGACCGCACACTCCCAGCCGTTTGACGCGGTACGTACCGCAAAGGCTGACACACTGCCCAGACAGCATCCGTGGCCCGAACCCAGAACTGTCGCCGGCAGACACACTGCGAAGCTTCCGGCGGCGCCTCGGCCGGACACGTACCCCAAAGTTCGAGGCGGCGAACCGGTCGCTGGCAGAGACGTTGGGGCTGGCCGTGGTGTGCGCGTAGTAGGCGTTGATGTTGGCCAGCAGGGTGGACATGACGGCCGGCACGCCCGGGCACAGATACTTGGTGGACAGACAATGAAAGTGCCTGTGGACAGATTGGTGACGTGGACGACGTGAGCCGGCATAAGGATTTTGGTAAACAACGAGAGCAGGGAGCTTGATGCGGCCTTTCAAGTGCACTTTCCGTCATCTTCACAGATATGGGATGGCGGAAGTACAACAGCTGTGCTCTGGAGAGAGGCCCAGGAAAAACATTACCAAAACGCCATCTCCACTTTACGGTGGATGGGGCCAAAGCTAGTTAGCGTCTCCACTCAACGGCAGAAGAAGACCAAAGTTGGTTAACATCTCCTCTCAACGCCAGCAGATCTAATTATCGTCCGGAAACGATTGCAGCACACAGACGCCACGGCGGGACGCTGTGTGCCACCAACGCCACAGCGCGTATCTTGACACAAGCGTCGGGACGCGTATACATTAAACGGAGTTCACTTCAATGAGGAGGCTACCGGACTGGGTTCCGACGGATGTCGCCATTAATGAGCACGCCTAAAATAATTAATTTTGGATGTTGCCAATCCAGACACATCGAAGGAATGACTCAACCGACAGCGGGAAAAGGGACTTCGAGCGACCACACGACGCATGAGCATGATGTTGCACTGGTGATCTTGGGGAAATGAGGTGAACTTTCAGCTAGCAGAACAGATTATGCAACACAGATATGACAAGTCTTCGCCCATGTAGGGAGAAGAGAAGCTTATCCTCCCGTCAACATAACAATCAAAGGTGTGCGTAGGACAGAGAGTGTCCAAATATGTGTTCTGTAGCTCGATCTTCGATCTTTTTTCAATAGTAGTGCGCTCAGCAGTTTTTGCCAGGAACACTTTGGCTGTGGCGATGTGCTTCGAAAACTTCCTTTTTCTTCTTTTCTCTTATTTCCTGTTGATGCCCGCGCTATGTCCGATGGAAATAAAATCAATGCTAGAGAGCTTACAAAAAGGATTTTCCCGCCTTCTAGAAAACACGGGAGTCCGAACTGAAACCCGCTAAGTTAGAATTGGATCCATGCCCATATCAGTCAGGCTTACCAGACGGACATAAAGCCTTCATGAATCTTACTACGAACCTGATAAAATGTCCACGGTTTCAAACAGACTTACCAAGCCGGAGGGAAACCTGATGGAATGTCCACGGTTTCAAACAGACCTACCAAGCCGGAGGGAAACAGATATTGCTGTCTGGCACGTCCAGACAATAATCCAGTAGTTCCGTGGTTCGGGCCATTCTCGCAATCGAAGCGAAACGAGGGACGTTAAATCATCGGCGGCGCCCTGTCACCACCATTGAAACAAGCGGCAGCCAACTTAAATCAAATTCGAGCATGTTCACGACCTGACGCGGCCGCTGCCTGCGGGAGTTCTCCGCACCCCAACACTGTCCCGCCGAACCAGGCTGAGTTTGTGAACGGGCGGGCCTGGGTAGCGTGGTGGACCCCCCAGCCTTGTGAGGATCGCCTCCGGTTAGGGGAAGGGTGGCGAGACTCCCCGGATGGACCCGGTAACTGAACAGGTTCAGCCCTCAGGATGTGGCAGGAGACAGCAGGACAAACGGACAACCCCCCCCCCCCTCCCCCTCCTCTGGGGACGGGACGCCTGACGGCAGGGGGGCTCCCACCACGCACGGGTGTGCGTGGTGTCGCCTCGACGGGCCCACGCGAAGAAAATATCACCCTTTCCTTGACCCTTCCCTTGGCTTGGCCATACTACGTCGATGTCCATATCTCTTCGTCACCATTACTGTCATCAAGCTAGTCATCGGGCGCCGGAGGTGTCGGCACGCGCCCCAGACTGAGCGTGCTCGCAGCCAGACGTTACGATCATACTAACCGAATGCTCCTTGAAGGTACGTGAATAACGTGGGCAGCGTTGTTTTTGGTCTGCCCGTTGCCACACTCAGGGCACTGAACGCTTAGAAGTGTGTTTTGCTTAGTTATACATGTCTGCATGTCGCTGTCACCAGGTAATTATTTGCTTGCACTAACACCAGCAGTCGACTATGAACTTATCGCTACCGGCACGTGCCTACTGCGGCCCTTTACCAACTGCCATGTTTTTAGCAGGAAGTGTCGCGTCTTTGAAATTTCATTCGTTCATAGGTATGACTGTTCTGTTTGATATTCCGTGATGGTAAGGAGCATGCGCTGATGGTCACCCTCTCATCGGTGACAGGTATACATAAACGTGATCCCAATACTCACGTCATGGCTTCGTATATGCTCTCCACGCCGTAACGCATGGCGAACTCGTCGACGATCTCCTGCGCCGGCTCGTCGAAGTACACCTTCCAGCCGTCATCGCCTGGGGGCATCGGCCGGTCAGTGTCGTCAATGCTGAAAAGTTCGTCGCCGACCAGATTCGTCCGCGGCCGTGTGAAGCCACAGGTCCAGCTGTCCGTGTCCGACCGTTGCCGGCGGACGACGGCGGTAGCGGCACGCACCTCACTGCCCGGGCTCTCTGCAGCGGCCACGCCGCCGGAGAGGGCCCGTGGATGCGATGCGCCGGCGTGGAGGCGCGCACCCCACCGCCCACGCCCGACTCACCGCATCTCCTCGTGACAGTGATGACGCACGCACGCCTCCGCTGGGGACCGATCATCTGGGAATGCCGCATCTGCGCCCCCCTCCCCCCCCCCCCCACACACGTGCCCACCGCCGCCCAGTCTGCGCCGCGACGGCGCCTCCGGCACGGGTCTCCCTGGCCAGTATGAAGGTGTTTTGCATGCGCCGCGAGCGACGAGCTCACAGCGCTGCCACTCATCTCCGGCCGGCGCCACTATTATGCACGCGTTTGCCCCCTATTTTCCTCGGCGGTGTGGTGGTATTTATCCGCGGTGCGCGCCAATATTTATCCGGCAGTAATCGGGCTCCGCCCCGGCCCACCACCAGGGCCCGTCCGTGCGGGCCCGGTTATCCGCGGCCGGCGGTGGTCTCACGGCCACAAGGGCGCCACCCGCCGGGGCGTGCCAACCCAGCTCGCGGGCCGCGGGCGCGGCGGCGTGGGAGCGTGCGACACGGCTTCGCCGGAGATTGGGCGGACGCCGGAGTCCCATGAGAGACCCAGACAGCGCGGGCCACCGGAGGTCCAGGCAGCGCGGTCCCATCAGAGACCCAGACAGCGCGGGTCCGCCAGAGATCCGAGCACCACGGGCCCACCAGAGATCCAGGTAGCGCGGGTCTGCCAAAGATCCGAGCACCACGGGCCCACCAGAGATCCAGGTAACGCGGGTCCGCTTGAGATCCGAGCACCACGGGCCCACCAGAGATCTAGGTAGCGCGGGTCCGCCAGAGATCCGAGCACCATGGGCCCACCAGAGATCCAGGAAGCGCGGGTCCGCCAGAGATCCGAGCACCATGGGCCCACCAGAGATCCAGGTAGCGCGGGTCCGCCAGAGATCCGAGCACCATGGGCCTACCAGAGATCCAGGTAACGCGGGTCCGCCATAGATCAGGACAAGACGGTTCTTTCAAAGATCAGCCCAGCGCAGCTTTATCAGAGAACAACTTGACGGCACGTCGCCACCAGAGATCGGCTCAGCACGGCCTAATCAAGGATCAGCCGTCTAGCGATGAGTCTGGACCTCCGACGGACCCCTGGCGGACGTCTCTCGAGAACAGCACTGATCGTGACGCTGCCCCGGTATCTGCCGGACTCCCAGCGCACGTCTGCGACGCCTCCATCGCACGTCCGCCCCGGCGGCGCCAGCGCGGTCGCACGTCCCTCCCGGCAGAATTGCCCGGGCTGATGAGCGGGGAGGGTGGGGAGGGGGAGGGGGTGCGCGTGACGGTCGACAGGCCGCCTGGCCGCCTGGGAAAAATCGAGCTGGCGCGGAGCGCGGCCGTGCGCGACGGCGGCCCGGCCCGCACTCTTATGTGCCGGCTAATGGCTCAGTCGATATTCTAATTGCCGCCGTGGCTGCGGGGCGGGTGCAAACGTCGTTGGCGGCGCGGCTTTTGCCACGGTGAGACACGCTGCGATTCCGGCCCGCTTCGATGCGCCAGCCAGGCGGTGCAGTCGGCGATATCGGGGAACGGGTACATAATAAAGCACGCGCATGCAGCGACCACACACAGAGGAAATTGTGGTGCGTATAAGACCGACAGTGCGCCTCGTGGATGGAGACACTGAGGAGGTGGACCGGGAAGACGGGTGTCGCGAGAAGGTTTTGGGCCACCAGGCGGCTGGCGGCGGCGCGGCACTCCGGAGTCAGTAGCCCGCCACCGACCAGGGGTAGGGCGACCCAGGAGTGCTCGTCGCAAGACAGAATCCACTTCCAGGTGGAGACCCAGGAATAGATCAGTGATTGAAGACTGAAATATAGATGGGGTCGATATCGCTGGATGGTGGCACTTGACAGGCTGCGCACTTCCGTCCGGCAGTTGCAGACCTCATCTTTTCAAAGGTCGTCAGTAACAAGATATCAGTAAAAAATGTCATCAAAACATCTCTGTTCAGCTTGAATTTGAACAGTGACGTGAACAGCGTGCATCGCCGGCTTGTTTACGGAATTTTCATCCGAGCTTCCTCACACATACTGGTTCGTGCGGTCGGTTGCCAGAGCTTAGCAGCCATCGCTCTTTGCCCAAGTCGTAGGTAATGCAATTACTTCTGTTTGCCCTGTGACCAAGGTGGCAATTGACCTACTGGGCAGTGTTGTTCCAGCCTATACAGCTGGCTGTTCAGTCACGCCGCTGGGCGGGGTGCCGACAGCGGAGTAGAACGGCGGGCGCCGGCAGACCTCGCCGCCCGGAGGCCGCCGCCAGCCTCGCCGGGTCAGCAGCCGACCCCGCAGCCGCGGCTCTAACGACCGCCTTCAGGCCACAAATGAAAGGCCTTTGATGCGTCAGCCGGCGGCGCCTCTGGGCACGCGCTGACCCTCCCCGCCGGGCCGCGCTGCCAGCCGGTTCGGTGATGCCCGGAGGCCCGGCACGCGCCGACAGCTGGAAAAGCGCGGTCCGCTACACGGGGCACAACAAGGCGGCCGCATGCTCGGCACGCTCCCGTCCAGAGCGAGTTCGGATGCCCGCCGGCCCAAGATGAGGCGGGCAGGCGGCCTCAGGGCAGCCCTCGACGCTGCAGCCAAGTTATAACCTTACAGAACCGTGATCTGTTTTGCCTGGCCGTCACGGTCGCCCAGTAACAGTTCCGCCCCTGCCCGCCTCCAGTTTTTGATCTAGCAGTTCTGTGAATCAACCGTTCGCTTACTAGCTGCTCGTCATAACGATTGTAAGGATGCATTTAGAACAGACACATAGGTGCTTGATAGCCGGATCTGTGATAAAACGCGATTGATGATCCATTTCGCTATACAGTCACAGCTGCCTTTTTGCGACGGCGACAAGATCCGTCCCAGGGTCTGGGCATGCGAAATTGCCAGCTCACTATGCAGTTGATAGCATGTTGCATAATAATGAAACCAGGCAGGGAAGCCGCTAGATTTTCCGCTCTAAGAAACCGTAAACTTCCACCTCCGGCCCATGAAATGGCCTGCATTGTACCCGGACGCGTACAATGTGGGAAAGCCTAAAGAGCTGGCAGCAGCGCCGCTGTTGTCCCGCATCCCGAAGGGGTCGTGCTGAAACCCCGCGACGTAACCGGCCGCCAGCCTCCTGCGGGGGCGGGCTCGGCCGTGAACTGACCTTTGGCCTGGGGCCCCGCAACTTAACCGGCCGCCAGCCTCCTGCGGGGCGCGCTCTGCTATGAACTGACCTTTGGCCTGGGGCAGTTTGACGTTTCCTGACTCCTGTTCACATAGGTAGTGGAACAGGTTCTCATGTAGGCACGTGTACTGGACGTGGTATGGAGCGACCTGGAGAACAAACACAAATGGTAAGCCGTTCGGTTTGCACATGCGCCGAGAGAAGCTCATCCCGTGACGTTGAGCGGCCCGCCTCGTGGTACCAGCCCAGCCAATCGGCTCACGGCGCTATGGAGTGTTATAAATCGATGCATAAAACAGCTGCCCACTGCATCAATCTCCTAGCGTCTGACATTCATCACAGTCTTGAAGGCCTCCGCAAAATTGCACGAGCAAAAGCACGGGAATGGCAGCTGTTCCTGCCGGGGGAAATGCTCCGCCGACGGCGGCAGCGGGCCGGTGCCGTACCTTCTCCTCTCCCTTGATCTCGACGCTGATGTGGAGGCGGATGGCGCCCGACACAGCCGACTTGTCGGTGCGTTTCTCCAGGTTGTACCAGACCTCCATCTCGCCAGAGAGAGTGCGCACCTGCCAGGCACGAAACACGGCTGAGACGTTCGGATACAGTGATCACGCGCGCGCGGCACAGCGGGCGTGAAATGATGGGGGCCGTCGCGATGTTTACAGGTGTCCTGGACATTTGCGTGGAGATCTCGCAGGTCATTGCTGCTCGACACAGTCGGATATCCTCCAGAACAATATACACCACACCACGCGTTTTGCTTTGTTTTATTTTTGTTGATATTACTAAAAGAATGCAAGCCTTTGGAACGCGGAAGCCACGTAATGCCCTTTAGCATTGCAGATTCTTTCGGGACCATTTATTCATCCGATTGATTATAGTGGGAGCCTTTGCAGCGGCGAAAGATAACTCCACTAGCACTGCTTTCCTGGATTTATGCAGGCTCTTGGCTTTATTCATATGGGAGTCGATAGCTACCTGGCGTTATACTGATGACTCGTGGACGAAATGAAGGGTGAACAACTGTAAAGACAAGTTTGGCCATTATGGAGATCGCTAGAATTTGTACAATTTTGGAAGTTGGCAATTAGTTAACTTAACACTGCCAACATACTTCATTTGTTAGAGGAGCAGCCTCTCGTTCCAAATAGAATCAACACGCACAAAGATATACCAAGCCACGCATACAGGGCGGAGACGGGCCTAATCGGAGAGGGAATATCTCCGAAAGTATGTGTGAGAGAGTGTGGGAGTGTGTGTGTGAGTGTGTGTTTGTGGGGACAATGCCAATTCTGAAATATATTATTTTAATGCATTGCCACAGGG